GAGTTTCCCCTTGATGATGAAGCGGAGGGAAGGATAGCGAACGATTAAATGTAAATTAAGCTTGTCGACGGATTCAACTTTTTCTGCGACACCGCGTCCAGAGGAAATTACAATTCCATGCCATTTGGAGCGATTTCCACTGCTTCAATCGGTAAACAGTACCTACTTCTACAGCACAATTAAGGTCAATGCTAAGCAATATGTTTGCTAGATTTGCGATTTGCTCGCTCTCAAACAAATCCGTAACTGAAAAAGAAACTTTACGACAAGAATACACTTTTACGAAAGTGCGGTTCAATTTCTCTGTCAAGCGTATAGTTACTCTGGTTCGATTCATTTTGCTCCGAGGCAAAAGTACAGGGGCTGTTGTAGGTGCATTTCTACCCATGAAGTCGAGTTTCTTGAACTAGGATTGCATCATTACGCATAACTCGTATAACAGAAATACTGATTTTCGTATGGACTTAAACACTGCCTACGAAAATCATTTGTGTATTTATGTATACTACCCATAATCGCATATCAGTCCCATTTTTGCTTGATTTCCTATCCATATGGGACTGATATGCGATTATGGGCAGTATAGAACTAAACAATTCGTCAATCCACGAAAATTTTTCGTACATACTAGATAGATATGGCACGCGGGTTATTCGTGAACATTACGAATAGAAATCGTTTGTGGTACGAAAATTATTGACAACTACAGTGAACTCTCACACTACACGGCGCTAGTGTGCACTTGAACTTCTTGTATATTCTGTATTTCGAGATCATGGTCGTATAACCGATGGTACGAAGGTTGAATTGAACTGATTCTTTGACATAAATAGCAACACCGCCAGTGTGTCTAGAATGTGATAAACAAGCAGCAACAATATATCCCGGAATACTATACTGATCAAAAGCTTCAGTTTCTACAATATAAGTTTCAGATAATAAAACTAAAAGAGGACGTTTTTCCTCAACAATCTGACGTAATGCTACGTAGTTTGTTGACAACCCCGCAATATTCAAGTTTAAAAAATCGAATTGATTCACATTCCTGGAACTTGGCTGCTATTTATTGAAACGCAAGCTGCTTTTCTTCTGATCAAAAGTCTTTTATAGAGCAAACATTCCGAGCTAAATGCGGCATGGTTGACGTCCAAGTTCATTTTTCGTTCTTTATTCATTTTCAAACAATTAATACATTTCAATACAGTTGACGTACACTCCGACGTTTTGTGTTGTTGGCTGCACCTAGAGCATCTTTCACAATTTTTGCAATCCATGCTCTTGTGCCCAAATTCTCCACATTTGAAGCATCTCAACACATTAATCGCGGGAACTATCGAGCACCGATCAAACCCTACATTTACTTTTTTTCGCACATAACAAACATTTATAAGTATCGACATCGACTTCAATTACAACACTAAACTTGTTATAAGTGAAGCGTGGATTTTCAAACATGTTCACTACTTTTACATCATTAATAGCGATGTTTTCATTTTGACTTTTTAAGTAGTCAATAAAGACATCGGAGGAAAACTGATCGCTCATACCCACTATTTTCAATCTTGGCACCGAAGTGAGAACAACAGCACTATATTTTTTACCCAGATTGCTTTCAATACCGTTTTTCACATCACTTACGTTTGCTCCTGTTGCACACTCAACAATAACGGAGCCATCTTAACCATTCCTGAAATTACTGATTTTGTGTGTTTTTGGATCCAACTGAGTTTTCAAAAACTTACGAGTATCTTCGCCAGGTTGTTTGGACTCTTTCGGTTTAATCACAATGACCGGACGAGTCTTACGATATCTGGTTTGTTATTTTTACTGTTACTGCTACTATTAGTTTTACTTTGACTAACACGACTATGTCTTTTTACAACATCCGCAAAACTCGCATTTTCTTGAAAAACAATATCATCATCATGATCATTATTACTAATTACTAATTTACGTTTTTTGCGTCTGGTATTTTGGTCCGATTCTGACTGAATCGTCCTAGATGAACTGCGCTGATCATTCTTTACAGCTAATTGGTTTTCCACATCAATTTTAAAAACTGAACTTTTCATATTATCCAATTTCTCACAAATTAAATTTTCAAGACCATTTACATTTATTCTAATGTCTACCATCCCGCTTTTAACCGCGAGAGTTGAAAAACCTTCTTCAGCTCTTCCTCTATCCTTTTGACGCGCGAGATCAGATCATTCTGCTCGTCACAACTCTGATCTGATAGACAACTATCACACTTGAACAGAACATTTGCATTATCTACTATAAGCCTCGTCGCAGCCTTAGTGAGTGCCGCACAAGCGAAATGGAAGGTTCCATTGCACGGACCTACACATGTAACTGGGGAGCCCACTCATACGTCATAGCAATAGACTGCACGCATACATTAAACACATCCATTTTACCAAATCAAGCGCTAAAGGGCTGAACACAATGATAGTGGCATGGCGACGTAGCGGCACAGTGGCACAGCGGCAAACGCGCAATGTACTAAAATCGCGCTAACCGCTGTACCGTTGCCGCGTTGCCGCATTCCTACCCACAATGCATGCACGCACAATCTATTTATTTTTCCTCTTCCGCTCCAAGCCACGTAAACGGGATTATTTTGATTGCAGTTTTGAGTTATTTGTTATTTGAATAATCTTTGATTCTGCTGACATAGTGAAGAAAAATCAGCAGAATGTTTTCTGAATAATTAATTAATCTGAAATCTTGTGAAAATATCCAAGGGGTTTTGAAATTCTCAGAAATTCAGTGAACGTCTCTGAATTTGCATTAACTCAAGAAAATTTGGGAGCACTTTGAAAAAGTATCTTGAATCGTGAGGAAATATCGAGAGCTTCGGAGAAGAGTTATGAATATCAGAAAAACTGCGGGAGCTTAAGAAAAGTTCCATGAATCTTAGGAAAGTCCAGACAACTCTAATTTATTGAGAAGTTTAAAGAACTTCTGGACATGCTTGGCATGCACAGTTGTACACACCAACTGCTCATTTGTTAATAACTTTTCACTCTGTGTGCAAAGTTATTAGCAAATGAGCAGTTCCTGACCAAAACTGTGTATGCAAAGCATAAAATAATAATAAGTTTAAAATCTTCAAGAATATACGGACAACTTCGTACATGTCTGGAAAATGTTGAAAACTTCATCGAAGATCTAGAGTAGTATTTAAGAAAACTTTAGAGTAGTTCTGAGGAGAATTTCAAAATAATTCTGAAGAGAGCATCAGAGTAGTTCTGAGGAGAAGTTCAAAGTAATTCTGTGGAGAACTTCAGAGTAGTTCTGAGGAGAAGTTCAAAGTAGTTCTGACGATAACTTCAAAGTATTTCCGATGAGAACTTCAGAGAAATTCCGAGGAGAACTTCAGAGTAGCTCTGAAGAGAATTTCAGCAAAGATACCTTTTTAACAAGATATCCCACTAATCAATTTATTGAACAAGGCAATGGATACACAACCCTTATGTGATCACAGTGCCATCTGGTGAGTGCACATTGAAACTGTTGGAAGTTCTCCACCAACTTAACCACCAGGGCTCAATAACTGACAGGTGTCAGCATGACATGTGCCAGCGCGGACGTTGATGATCAGCCGAAGAAGACGAAGAGGACGATATCATCCTCGATGTTATCATCATTATATTGCGATAGCAAGGCTCTCACTCTTTTGTGATTGCTCCGATTTTCATTCATTACCACTTTATACGCAAAATAAACATTTAAGAAAACAATCACACATCCAAGCTCGCATCATGATGGGCTTGTAATATGTTTTGCTTTGGAGTGAAAGAGTTTCCAATATCATCACCAGTAAGAAGCAAATATCTAAAAGTAATTGATTATTTGCGACGCTGTTGCACAATATAATATTTATAAGCACATAAGTAGACATGGAAAAACATTTACTCTCCATGAAGAACTACACACACAAGCCATTGGAAATGCCGTCTTCCTTAGTCTAGTCAACGCAGCACGCATTCAATTCAAAAATTATGTTGGATAATGAATGCTTTCCTATTGTATAACATAGGACGGTATTTGTCAACGACTGCGAATACAAACGCAATCGGAAGCTGCCGAAGCTGAGTGATGACGATAAGTGATGACACCGCTTCGTGTTTTGATTTGCGCTGTACCGTCCGCTCAGGTTCGTAAATGCATAGATGTTGGTATGCGTGTTTACTTCCGAGGCTGCAGTTCAATGTTGTCTCGTCACAATCCTTTTGGCGCTGTTATCTGTCTCTATAAATTCCAAAGAGTGAAGGAGGTCTGATTTCTGGGAAGTTCCGAGAACTCCAGAGAAGTTCCATTGGCCTCAGGGAAATTCCCGGAACATGTATGGCCAGTGTGGTCCTGAGTACTTAATATGGTCACCAATGATCTTATTTTTGAATTCTCATATAGTGTGGTTCGATTTTCACTTCTCCAAGGGTATCCGGAACATGTTCGGATCTGACCAACATGGTCTTCAGTACTTAATATGGGCACCAATAATCATATTTTTGAATTATCATATAATTTGATGTGTCACATGTAGGTGTTGGTTCAATAAGAATCTAACCAGTTCCCCGGCGGTACCCGAAATATGTCCAGCTGCATGGTTCCAATTACATATTACGACCTTAGATGACTATTTCGTTTACGTCTTGAAGGTTCTGGCTAACTCAAAAACTAAAAAGATACAACTGAAAATGTTGAGCACTTCTCAGGCTGCCGCACCTCGTTTTTCCAAAATGTTGAAAAAAAAAGCGTTTTAGTACAATGCCGCTTTTGCCGCCACGCGCTCATTGTGGATTGTCAAACGGATTTCAGTGTATTGGAAAATTTGCGATTGCCGCTATTCCGCTATGCCGCTATCATTGTGTTCAGCCTTTATAAAGGCTCAGCTACAATGGAGAGCGCAGCGCAACGGCACGGCAGTGCGCAGAATGCGGCAGTGTACTAAAATGTTCTAAACTGATTGCCTTTGCCGCTTGCCGCTTTCGTGTCTACAATGTGACAGGTGATATGCGATTGACGCTCTGTTGTCATTGACAACTTTCGCGAAAATGGAAACCGCATCGCAAGCTCTTCAACTATTAACTTCATTGAAAATTTTGCGTGAAATTAAAAATATCCGAGATGAAATGCCAAGAAACCGACGATCGCGCCGACGATGGTGGATTAGGCCATCAAATCGACGCCGTAAAACCGAAGGATTCTACGAAACAGCGTTCGATCTAATGAAGAAAGGAGATCCTGATTATTTTGTGCGATCGGTTCGTATGACACCAGATGTTTTTCAGAAGCTGTTGGAAACTGTGAAGCATCGACGAGAAAAATTCTCCATCAGAAAACCCATAAATCCGGAATGCCGTCTTTTTATGACGCTTATGTAAGTACTCTCAAACGTATTTATAAGTTTCAGCTTAATCATTGCAAATTAACATTAAATTCAATAAAAACCGAAAATGTTCGTGATTCGCATACCAAGAACCTCTTGAACATTCGTGTTATAGACATTTGACTATATTGCTCTATTTCATTTCAGGTATCTAGCGCATGGAATGAACCACTTTACACTGTCTCGTTTATTCAGGGTTGGACGGTCTACAGCTCATCGGATTACACAGGAGGTAGTGAAAGTACTATGGGATGTACTGGTTGCTGAATATCTTCCGGTTCCTGATGAAGAAACTTGGAAAACTTATGCTTTAGAATTTTATCATCAATGGCAACTTCCCAACTGTTGCTCAGCTATCGACGGGAAACATATAGTAATACAGTGTCCTCCAAAGGCAGGATCGGTGTATTACAACTACAAGAAACAACATTCAATAGTTCTGCTTGCAGCTTGTGATGCAAACTACAATTTCGTTGCAGTTGATATCGGAGCTTACGGCGGAAATTCAGATGGAAGTGTGTTTTCGAACAGTGAATTTGGGCGCCGTTTACGAGAAGGAAATCTTGATTTACCACCTGCAACTTGCCTACCATATTCAAATCAACTTTCACCTCACTTCATAGTTGGTGACGCTGCCTTCCCATTGATGAATAACCTTATGAGACCGTACCCGGGAAGAAACTTGCCAACAATCAAAGACTATTTCAACCAGCGTTTGTCGAGAGCTAGACGTACGATTGAAAATTCCTTCGGAATAATGGTTGCTCGATGGAGAATTTTGAAGGTTCCACTCGTAATGACTCCTGAAGCCGCAGAAAACATAACGAAAGCCATCATTGTTCTGCATAATTTCTCAAATAAGCATGCTAGACGTGTATATGCTCCACCTACGTTTCCGGACCACCTCAACCACACCGGTCAATTTGTGGATGGTGAGTGGCGCACAGTTGCAGATCCATTACCAAGTGTGACAGCTGATTCCATCAGCAGAAATCATAATGCTCCAAGAAATGCATATCAAACTCGAGATAATTTAGCTCAATACATAATTAAAAATCGTCTTCCGTTTGCAGTATCACAATAATAAACATACCATATACCTATGTAAATTCCTTCACTGCTAAACATTCAGAGATAATATTGTATTCAGACAAAACTCTCAAATTAGACATAGTACCCGGGATTTTATTCAATGTATGATTTGTTATGATTGAAAGAGAATACGAGAATAAAATAATTGAAAAAATGTAAAATTTCATCCATAATTAGCTCAATAAATACCGTAATCAATCCATCTACCAGTGACAAGTGCCTTTCTCGAGTCAGTCAGATTCTAGTAACCATCATTAGGACATTCGGAAGGCAATTCTTGGACACTTTTTCAAAAGGGCGTATCTGTTTTTGTAAACAAAGATTCGAACGTCAATTTCTCGGAAATCTTAGCACTGCCACGCAAACTAACACTACCATCATAAAGGGTAACATTTCCCCTACCTGATGGTACAGATACGTCCTTTTGAATAAGTATCCGATAATTTATGATCAAGAAGTTACAGATTAATTTTGTTGATCGCTATTCGGCAAGTGAATTAATACAATCTCCGAGGAATTTGTTTAAAAATTTGTCCTAGGATTCCAACATGGCAGCCATTGATAATTTTGTCGATTCCTGATGTGAATTGAGATGTCGCATAATGGGTTTTTGTTTGAGTCCGCTACCCCGGAGTGCACCAGAAAAAATGATATAGCTTCTTCTGGATTGTCTACACAATTTTGAGAACAGTGATATGTCGCTTGATAGGGTTCTGTTGTTGTGAAAAATTGACCATTACCCCCAGGGCTTCCAGAACCTGATCCGGAGCCACTAGATGGCCAATGTGGTCTAGAAAAGATGATATGTCCTCTTCTGGATTGTACACGAAATTCTGAGGACAATGATATGTCGCTCGATAGGTTTCTGGGGTAATACTAAAGTGACCAATTTCCCCAGGGCTGCCGGAACCTGTTCTGGAGTCGCCCGATGGCCAATGTGATTTAAAACAGATTATATGTTCTCTACTGGATTGTCCACAAAATTCTGAGAACAATGATATGTCGCATGATAGGGTTCTGTTGTTGTGAAAAATGACTACATCCCCCAGGGCTTCCGGAACCTGATCTGGAGCCACCAGATGGCCAATGTGGTACATAAAAGATGATATGTCCTCTGCTGGATTGTCCACGAAATTCTGAGAACAATGATATGTCACTCGATAGGTTTCGGATGTAAAGCAAAATTTACCCCTTCCCCCAGGGCTTCCGGAACCTGTTCCGGAGCCACCAGATGGCCAATGTGGGGCAGTATGATGTCTGTGTCATGAATGATTAGTTTTTGATGGAATGTCGTCAAAGTAAAATATTTTATTGCATAAATTTCGTCAATATAACTGCAGATAACTAGAAAAATTACCTATGCCACACTTACACTACCCGTCATAAGTGATGACTCGCGAGGAAAAATATTGCAACACTCGCTTGCATTGCATCACCCCCAAAAAAGTTTAGCATCACCCGCTTTGCTTGGGTGATGCTAAACTTTTTTAGGTGATGCAATATTGAAGTGAGTGTTGCAATCCTTTTCCACGCGAGTCGTCACTTATGACGGGTAGTGTATATCCGCCCCCTTCAAAAAGGTGGAGGGTCAAAACGAGACGTGTGTTTTGCTATTTTTTTAGCCCAACTCTTCCTCTCGATGAAACATTAAGCAGATTGTACATTAATTACGTAGTTGTCGAGAACAAACCATTACACTAAAACAAAATCCGTCCCAGTATGTAGGTTAAGGGTTAACACAAAAATATTAAAAACACTTCCAAGTTTCGGACTGTATTTCGAATTTTCGATGCAGTATCCTTTTGCGCGAATTACAGCCCAAAGACGATCTACAAAGGAATCACAGGCTGCCCGGAACTCGGCCAAGACTTGACTTAAAAATTTTGATCGTTGTTTACAACCTCTGGAATAGCATCGACTACATCGGTACATGTGCACTAATTGGAGGAGGTAAGGTGCGATTTCTGGAACTGCCTTTCCTAGAATAGTAAGAATAAACATTCGCCGAGGGCGTTTCCCACCGCTTGCTGGTCCGTGAAGCACAGGACAAAGATGCAATTTTTTATTTAAGGATAATCAAACTTAGGATAATTTTAATCAGCTTCATATTGATCCAACAAAGCATTCACCTCAGCTGTATACTTTGTTTCCAACGCACGAGCCACATTAGCCGGAAGTCTGTCCAGCTTCTCAGCGAGGGATTTGCAGAATGGCTCAAAACGGCTCTTTTTTGCACCAATCGCAGCTATTACCTCACCAACCTGGTCCACTAAATTTTCAATTTTTGTATCGATTATGTCGCTCTTCCTCTTCTTCCGCTTGCCTTTCTCCTCACCCAGTTCATGTGATTCCAGAGCTTCGTCCAAATATTCGACTTCCCCGGTGTCATCCATGTTCTGGTTCCCAGATTGTTCCTCGGATTGGGTGTCAAATTCGTTAACTGAATCGAGGGGTGGCGTGGAGGCTAGATAATTACTTGTAGTCCTGTAAACCCAATTATAGTTATACTACGAAAAAATTTTGTTTGCTTATACAATGCAAAATTACCGTCGTCTTTCACAGTGCTCTTGTAAAAATGAGAGCTCCTCATAAAAAATCCACCTGGGGCAATGTACCTCTGCATTTCCAGCTCCCGAAGTAGAAGTCTCCTGGACCTTTTTTAGCTCCTTCATAAATCTGTCTCGGAGATTCTTCCACCGCTGCCTAGCTTTATCTCCTGTAACAGAAAAGTATTATGTTTTAAGTTAGCTTAATTACTTAATTAAAGCTTTAATTACCTGAAATTTCAGCACCCAAAATGCTCGCAATTGAGCTCCAGGCCCGATCTTTTAGAGCAGTCTTCCGGTACGCTCCGCATTTTTTGTCGTATAAATACGGATGTTTGCGTACCAGGTCAATTAGTTGGATGACCTTCTCATCAGTAAGCTCACAATCCATTTTTTAAATTACTTCTACTCGTGATGTTATAGTCACTTCGAGAATGATCGATTCAAATTAAAGTTATTTTTGTAAATTTCAAGTTCAGGCGACTTGCCGCGCAAAAGCTGCCGCCGCTTATTCAACATTTTGAATATTTGCGGCGTTTTAGTACAATGCCGCTGTTGCCGCATGTACCCATTGTAGCACGTCAAATGAAGAAGCATGTGTTTAATATTGCGCGCTGCCGTGCCGTTGCGCTGCGCTCTCCATTGTAGCTGAGCCTTAACACTGTTAGCAGCAGACATATACACAAAATTAAATTTTACCGTAACAGCTCACTTTACAGAAGCAATAGCGCGCCGGGGGAAAAATACAAAATTAATCAAAAACGAGTTGCTAGGCAGAGGAAAGGTTTCCTGTTAAAAATAATTCTTTATAATTCTAATGATAATTCTGACTACACGGAAAACAAAACATTGGTATTGAACATTTTTCAAGATTACAAAAATTATGAAAAATCGGTAGTTTTTAACGTTTCGTCTGTGAATCGGTAGGCATCCCGAAAATCGGTAGGACTACCGATAAATCAGTAGGTCTGGCCACCCTGCGTTCAGGAACGTAAAGGTTAAGTTGACCTACACTTAAAAAAATCACACGTTACCTTTATGTGTCCTCCGCTTCAATTTGCGCAAATTGCGAAACACATCCGTTTCACGTCACGTGTGAATCTTATAATAGAAATTATTCCCGAACATTATGAGTTCAATTGTGATACACTTGGATTTCATGTGTCTCACAATTTGTTATCGACAGTCTGACACTTAATCATCAAATTTTCTTCATTCAAAAGTATTAGTAGATGGCGGTAGTGTTTAACGTATTTTCAATATGGCGTCTCGGGCATGATTTTGAAAGAAGCTTCTATGAGCTATCACGTCGGTTCGTCGGTGATCATTCTGTCTCTACTCAAGCGTCTGCAGTCCCGATCTCACAAATTGTCTCTGAATTGCTTCGATCCTACCAGTCCAGGTTGACTGGTACGGGCACCATACTACAGAGTTGGATTCCAGAATTGATCGCACCAGAGTGCAGTACAGATATCGGAGGCAGAGAGGATTGGTAAATTCGCAGGATATTTTGAACAGAAACCCCAGCTGTCGGTTGGCTCTACAGACTAAATTTTCAATAGCTACCAAAAATATCCATTATTACCGTCCCAATGACGCGTTCATTAGCATTAGAATTAGCATTAGCATCGATCAAGTTGCACAATATCGTAGGTGGTACGAATTCAAAACTATTAAGAGCAAGACGGGTATCTATTACTGGACAGATAGTAAGTAGGAAATAATTACTATATCCCAGATAAAGACATATCCCGCTCCAACAGTTAAGGATTGTCATGGCCACGTCCTTACAACTGGTAGTGATAGTCCCAATGACGCGTTCATCTAGATAAATTGGATTTATAGCAGATTTTTAGCGATGGGCCCAACCTTAGATCCATAGGCCAACATTAGAGCCATTTCCCCTACTTATTGGAAATTTGCAATGAAAAAAAACTTTGAGGAAAATCAAGCAACAATTTTGTATTTATACGCCTAATTTTTGCTATCACAATCTCTACATTGTACCAAAGCTCGATCGTACGACGTACAAGTACGACGACATGCCTCACCTGGGAGATCTGCAAACAAGCACCCAACTAACGCTGGTCAACACCAACAATACCATGGATGCTTTGGAGCCCCTCCCCCCTAACGTGATTGTTATTGGTGAAGCTCGCATCAATAAACCTGCACCTTTACCAGAAGACTTGGAAAGATTCATCAGTAGCAGCAAGAAGGGAGCCGTTCTCTTTTCCCTGGGATCCAACGTCCGAAGTGACAAAATCGGTGAAGACCGGCAGAGGATGTTCATTGAAGCATCCCGACAGATGCCACAGTATCATTTCCTATGGAAATTCGATTCGGACCTTCAACTGGACTTGCCCCCTAATGTGATCATCAAACGATGGATGCCTCAAAGCAGCATATTGACCCATCCTAAGATAAATGGAATACCATTTTTATGGACCAAATCAGGGTGCGTGGTATGGTCTTTCAATTTTATTTGTTTAATAATTTGAATCTTGTGTAGAACTGCCACCGATCGATAAGCGCAGGGGTCGCTGAGTCGCTCGCTTATAAATCTCTATCGGTGGACACAATTCGCAGTACAGTCCTTAAGGTTCTGAAAACTCCAAAGTATAAGAACAATATGATGCGGTGGTCGAAATTCTTCTGCGATCAACCCGATAAGCCGCTCGACCCCGACTTGACTCACATAAAATCTCCCACGCTGGATTTGGGAACCGCGCGATCAAACCTACTGGATGTATGCGTTGTATTTGGCAGTGCGCAAAACAGTCAGGTTCATTGAGTCATTTTGATATGAATATGAACTGCCATCCCGAGTTGTGACCTATCACAATCAGGCATGGGAAATCATTTGCATTCATTTTGTGCATTCATTTACATACATTTGGCTCTAACTTTTTTTCTTCAACAGCATTCCGCAAAATAATGTATAGAGCTTTTTTAGTTTTTATTATTAGCTACAACTTTTGTTAACAAGTCAAATCCGTATCTCTTATGCATTACGAACCAGAGCGAACAGAAGCCACTACTGTTTTTCAGTGAATGTATTTTACATTCACTGAAAAACAGTAACAAGTTCTTCCCGCTCTAGTTCGTGATGCATACGAGATACAGATTTGAGTTATGAGCAAAAGTTGTAGCTAATAACAAAACCTACAAAAGCTCTATACATCATTTTGCGGAATGCTGTTTATAAAAAAGTTAGAGGCAAATGAATGTGAATGATTTTCCATGCCTGATCACAATCACGATCGCCAAACAGCTGATGGTAGTAACGCTTTGTACATTCCTATCAATGTGCTCGTCGAAGCTCTCTCCATGACCATCCATCAAGTTGACGAACGAAGTAAAAAGCAACTGATGAATGTAGTCTTCTGT